CCAAATACCAAATAAATATAAAGATTATATAATGCATATGGATGGAGAAACTATGACATCTAGCACATATGAGGAAGTGTTAAAACTTCCTCCTAAAGAAAAAGAAAAGTGGGAATTAGCAATGACAAAAGAGATGGAAAGCTTACAAGGATTAAATGTATTTACACCTGCGATTGCACCAAAGGACAAAACAATTATTGGCACTAGGTGGATATATAAAATTAAAAATTTAGAGGGAGGCAATACTCTATACAAGGCTAGATTAGTTGCACAAGGTTATGCACAGAAATATCCAGAGGACTATACTGACACTTACTCCCCCACAGTAAGAACTGAAAGTGTAAAAATGGCTCTAGTTGTAGCATCAGCACTCAATCTCGATGTATTCCAGTATGACATACAGACTGCGTATTTACACGCAAAATTAGATAAGGAAATATATGTAAGGGCACCTCACAGTCAATATACAAATAAGAATGAGATTTGGTTATTAAACAAAAGTCTATATGGGCTAAAACAATCTGGTAAACGATGGTATGATTGTTTAGTAAAAGTACTAAGAACTATGGAATTCAATGCTACCACTGCTGATAATTGTTTCTTTGTTAAAAAGGGTAATGATTACATAGAATTTGTATTGATCTATGTGGACGACATTTTATATATAGGTAATCACAAAGAAAGAAGAGAAACATTTGTAACAAAGTTAAATGAACATTTCTCATTGAAATCCTTAGGTAAAGTAAATAAGTATCTTGGTGTTCAAATTAGTAAGACTAAAAGGGGATTCAAGCTTTCTCAGAAAGATAAGATCACAGAACTTTTGAACAAATGTAACCTAAATGATGCTAAGCCCTGTGATACTCCAATGCAAACTGATTTCCTAAGAAATGCTGATGAATCATCCCCTGAATTCAAAGATAACACGTTCTATAGATCAATCATAGGTTCACTTCTTTACATTTCTAATTGGACAAGACCAGACATCGCTTTACCCCTTAATTTATTGTCCAGACATGTCAGCAAACCAACTATGTATCACTGGGAAGCTGTTAAAAGAATATTAAGATATTTAAAAAACACATTAGACTTTTGCTTAATGTTAGAACCTAATAATGTCAAGGAACCGAAACTCACATGTTACGCAGATGCAGATTGGGCTGGAGACACTTCATGCAGAAAAAGTACATCTGGTTACTTATTTCTCCTAAACGATTGTCCAGTTTACTGGTACACTGGCAAACAAGATTTAGTGGCCACTTCAACAACAGAAGCGGAATATGTTTGTTTATCTAAAGCAGCAAATAACCTTGTATGGTTTAATGATCTGATTTCTGATGTTTGGAAAAAACCTGCACTACCTTTTGTCATGCACGAAGACAATAAAGCAGCCATTGAAATATCTAGATCCGACGCCATTGGACAGAGATCTAGACATATAGACATAAAATTTAAACATGTGAGACAATTATCTCAAGATGGATTTATTAAGGCAGTGCATTGTGAGACATCGGAACAGTTAGCTGACATATTGACAAAGCCTTTGCCATCTAAGCAACATAAATATTTGACTTCCAAATTATATGTATTATATTGTTCTGAATCTGAATGTAATAAATGTAGCATATCGAATCGGCATTTAGAGGGGGATTTGTCACAAGTAAATGCCTTATTCTCTAATGTGTAAATAGTATATGAACGGGATGTCAGGGGTTAATTTATTCTTCATTTCTTAATGTATTCATACTTCACCACTCCCATATCTAGCTCCACCCATTGTATATATAAGGAGCTACACACACTCTCTTCTTAGCTTCTATCTGTGAATATTCAGTGAATGTAGAATGCCTTATGTAAATAAAAGAAAATATATTTGAACTCTTAATTCTCTCATAACTTATTGAGTCTGATCCTGAAAATATTGCAACAATAACATTTTTCCAATCAAAAGGCACATATACATAGACAGTCACCAATAACTAATAATAACAAACCGAACCCAAATTTTAACATTTCTCCCCCATCTCTACCTGTAGCCTGACCATTTTTCAACATTTTGACAGAATTAACTCCTTTTTCCTTACTTTTTTTCAGATGCTAACACTTACAGAATTTCTTTCAATTCTACTCTTTGAACTAGTACAATCATCCCCATAAAATCTTTAAAATATTTTTTCTGACACGCCTTTCCTCCAAATCCATTCCAATGATTTAATATGCCATCAATTGTCCTATGCAAAAATAATTTTGTAATCCTTTGAAGCTATTTTTGCTTGTTTTAATATCTTGCAAAGACAGAGGCCAAGTTGGGGGAACAGAATTAATGATTTTAAGAAAAATTGTAGTTATGTGAAAAGTGACTTGTTGCAAAGTAATAGCAATAACACTTAGACTTATATACCACTTCACAGTGCTTTACAGCCTTCTCTAAACAGTTTACAGAATCAGCATATTTTCCCCAACAATCTGGGTCCTCATTTTATTGATCTCGGAAGGATGGAAGGCTGATTCAACTTCAACCTGGTAGGACATGAACTGTCAAACTGCTGGCAGCTGGCAGTCAGCAGAAATAGGCTGCCATACTATATTCTAACCACTGCGCCACAACAGCGCAAAGAGGGAACATCTTCTGCCTGTAGAATGGGGTGATATATCTGTAACAAATACAGTCAGGTCCAGAAATATTGGGACATCGACACAATTCTAACATCTTTGGCTCTATACACCACCACAATGGAGTTTGAATGAAACAAATACAATGTGCGTTAACTGCAGACTGTCAGCTTTAATTTGAGGGTATGTACATCCAACTCAGGTAAACGGTGTAGGACTGACAGCAGTTTGCATATGTGCCTCCCACTTGTTAAGGGACCAAAAGTAATGGGACAGAATAATAATCATAAATCAAACTTTCCCTTCTTAATACTTGTTGCAAATCCTTTGCAGTCAATCACAGCCTAAAGTCTGGAACGCATAGACATCACCAGACGCTGGGTTTCATCCCTGGTGATGCTCTGCCAGGCCTCTACTGCAACTGTCTTCAGTTCCTGCTTGTTCTTGGGGCATTTTCCCTTCAGTTTTGTCTTCAGCAAGTGAAATGCATGCTCAATGGGATTCAGGTCAGGAGATTGACTTGGCCATTGCATAACATTCCACTTCTGTCCCTTCAAAAACCCTTTGGTTGCTTTTGCAGTATGCTTTGGGTCATTGTCCATCTGCACTGTGAAGTGCCGTCCAATGAGTTCTGCAGCATTTGGCTGAATGTGAGCAGATAATATTGACCAAAACACTTCAGAATTCATCCTGCTGCTTTTGTCAGCAGTCACATCATCAATAAATACAAGAGAACCAGTTCCATTGGCAGCCATACATGCCCACGCCATGACACTACCACCACCATGCTTCACCGATGAGGTGGTATGCTTAGGATCATGAGCAATTCCTTTCCTTCTCCATACTTTTCTCTTCCCATCACTCTGGTATAAGTTGATCTTGGTCTCATCTGTCCATAGGATCTTGTTCCAGAACTGTGAAGGCTTTGTTAGATGTTGTTTGGCAAACTCTAATCTGGCCTTCCTGTTTTTGAAGCTCACCAATGGTTTACATCTTGTGGTGAACCCTCTCTATTCACTCTGGTGAAGTCTTCTTTTGATTGTTGACTTTGACACACATACACCTACCTCCTGGAGAGTGTTCTTGATCTGGCCAACTGTTGTGAAGGATGTTTTCTTCACCAGGGAAAGAATTCTTCGGTCATCCACCACACTTGTTTTCCATGGTCTCCCAGGTCTTTTGGTGTTGCTGAGCTCACCGGTGCGTTCCTTCTTTTTGAGAATGTTTCAAACAGTTGTTTTGGCCATGCCTAATGTTCTTGCTATCTCTCTGCTGGGTTTGTTTTGTTTCTTCAGCCTAATGATGGCTTGCTTCACTGATAGTGACAGCTCTTTGGATGTCATCTTGAGAGTTGACAGCAACAGATTCTAAATGCAAATAGCACACTTGAAATGAACTCTGGGTCTTTTATCTGCACATTGTAATTGGGGTAATGAGGGAATATCACACACCTGGCCATGGAACAGCTGAGAAGCCAATTGTCCCATTACTTTTGGTCCCTTAACAAGTGGGAGGCACATATACAAACTGCTGTAAGTCCTACACCGTTCACCTGAGTTGGATGTACATACCCTCAAATTAAAGCTGACAGTCTGCAGTTAATGCACATTGTGTTTGTTTCATTCTAACTCCATTGTGGTGGTGTATAGAGCCAAAGATGTTAGAATTGTGTCGATGTCCCAATATTTCTGGACCTGACTGTAGATATATATCCCTAAGGAAGAGTGACTGTGTATTTTAAATGTGTCAGTTAACTATTAAACTAATGGCTTAATTAAAATACAGAGACTTGGAGACTTTCTAAGGTGTGGTAATTGCTCACATCGAACCACACTTGCCTCCTGGCTTTTTTCTCTTCCCCTAGCCCCAATAAATACATTTATTCAATACTTGATTGTAATCAAAAGGCTAAGAGGCTAGCATACATTTATTCAGACCTACAAGGTCCCTTCCAACTCTGTTATTCTGTTAAAGTCTGAGCTTAACCTTTCTTTTCTTCAGAGTTTCTAAGAATGTCTCAAAAAAAACCCTCCCCAGGAGCCGAAGTGTTATTTACTCCACTGGTCAAAACCTCAAGTTGAGTTACATCTGTTAAGTGAAAAAAGTGATTCTAGAGTTCCTACCTAATACCTAGTTTGGTTCTGCATTACAATGCTGGATTGATACTGCCCCAGATATCTGTGGAACTCCCACCTTGGTGATGTTCTAGAAATCTTTAAATCTTTAGCTCTTCTCCCAGGTCTTAGGACAGAGTGCTTTTGGAGCCCTGTACTGATTTTGATTCTCTTACAAATAGGAAGACTTATCTGTACTAAATGAATATTTTGCAGAAGCAAGACGCATTCAAGATAATTACAAAGACTTTGAGATGAATGCAATTTACTTACCTCCCGTAACAACGATATTGGCTTTTACACAATACGTGAAAGTGTTAACACCCCTCGGTACCGAAAATTCCCTGACGGGTCTGTAATTGTAACAAGACATTTGATCATGCAAACACTTAAGTATCAGTGATTTTTGCCAAATCCATAGTTATATGATGGTAGTCCTGGGAAGCTGATTTCAGAATCTAAGTCTATAGAAGACTTTATGCTAGGACTCAAATTTCTATCAGAGATGCAACCAACAACATCACTTGTATGATATTTCAAACAAGAAGTCACTGAAGGTAGCAGTTTTCAACACAAGCAAAATTATAGTGAGCAGAAAGGAAGTAATCTATGGATGTTTGTATTTTTTAAATCAAATCAGAACCAATTGTAAACACTACTTGGTAAAGAGATTATTATATGAACAATCTCTTTGTTGGGTTTTGGATAATAAAAATTCATATTTTCAGCAGTCACACTGTTTGAGTTGGGTGCCTTATAAAAACACAAACAAACAAACTTACAAATTGTCTTCAAGTCTTTTCAGGTCATCCAAAACCAACGAATGAATGTTATCCAATGAACAGGATCCAAAACAATTCAAAGCTTGAATGTATTTTACTTTTAGAACCCAGTCATCATGCAGTTTACGTTTAATGCTAGAGGTGATAAAATGAAACATTAATTTAAAAGACACATCTGGTTATATATATATCTGAAAATGAGTTTTAATGTTGCTGCACTGGTCCTCAAGGGGCTTAGTTTTAAGACTCAACCACCTTAGTAACCCTCCTCTGAACTCCAGTTTGTCATTGTGCTTTTTGAAATGTGATGTCCAAGACTGACACAATATTCCAAGTGTGGCTTGACCAGGGCAGAGTAGAATGGAACATTTACTTACTGGACCCAGTATTTGACTTGGACCTAGCATTTGCTTTTTTGCAACTGCATCACACTGCTGTGATGGTCAACAAAGTAATCAAGATCTTTTTATATGTACTATGCCAAACGTTAGAATGTCTCTTCAACTTCTCTCATCCGAGTCATTGAGAAAAAATTCTCAATGAATTCTAAATTCATTTTTCCGTCCAAACTAAAGTGGAGCCATCAACATTATTTAGGTCAGTCAACTGTGAATCTATTGCTGTGTGAACAAACAGAAAACATGACTTTGGTAGTAGAGCTCAAGGGAAAAAGATATATATTGATATCAATATATAGATATATTGCTCTGTCTTCTTTTCTTTCTTTTCTTATTTCAGTTCAGGTAGCTTCAACCCAGGGGGAAAAAGAGAACTTCTGGGAGCTTGTGTCTATAACAGGAAAGTAGGGAGGATTTATGTGTAAGTGTTCTAGGGGAAATGAATAAGAAAGAAATATGGACAGCAAGAGAAGCAAAATTGTCTTCCTGCCTGAAGAGGACCCAGCCAGATACATTTGCTAAAAGTGCAAATGTCAACTCACAAAGCATCCCTGGCCTGCTCTTGAGTTGCCATAGGCCAGTGGAGATGGGAAATCGGCGAAACTGCACAGTAGCCAAAGACAGATGCACATTCCACGCTTATCTCTCGCAAGACTGTATCCCAGGGTTACCTGTAGCAACCGGAGGGAAGTGACCTCTACAAACCATGAAATTTCTCCATTGGTGAATGTGATTGATGACACACCCTGCGGGGAGGGGGAAAACAGGGTCATAACTGAAGCGTAAATTATGTAGAGCCAGAGCTGGCTTCACTTGGGAACGTGGCGACATGAAGTTCCTAATAAATAACTGGATTTCTTTTGAAGCTTGGCTCGAGACTCATGATTTTTAATTAGGGCACCCTAACAGGAAAGTAGGGAGGATTTATGTGTAAGTGTTCTAGGGGAAATGAATAAGAAAGCAATATGGACATCAAGAGAAGCAAAATTGTCTTCCTGCCTGAAGAGGACCCAGCCAGGTACATTTGCTAAAAGTGCAAACTTATTTCTATTTTTGGAGGAGAAAGCAAAGGAACTCTCAGAGAAGAGAAGTGGCTGTTAGATAAGACACCTGAAATTATCCAGAAGGGATAGAGAAGTGGGGAAAAAACATTTAGCAAAGGTAGACACATGGAAGACTCTGATCCAAACAGCAAGAGTATCAGGAGGTACAATGGAACTCAGAAACCGGTATAAGGTCTTCCTCTAGAGGACAATTAAGAATCAACATGTTCCACTGAAGACTCTGCTGAGATCCAAAAATACCATATCTAAGAATACCATATCTAAATCATATTCTCTGATTTATTAAGCTAGTAACTCTACCAAAAAAGAAGACAAAGTTAGTTTAACATGATTGATTGGCAACAAACCTATGCTGGCTTCTGTTAATTTTAGGAAATGCTCAAAAACATGCTACTTGATCATCTGTTTAGAAGACCTCACCCACTGTAGAAATCAAGCAAACAGGGTGGTGTTCCCAGGTCCTCTTTCTCCTCTCAAAATTCTTTCTCGCCTTTATTCATACCCAAACACAAGATTTCTATGTTTCAGTTCCTAAATTTTTCTGCATGTATATCTTTTTTTTTCTTTACATGCAACACCCCAACTTTTTTACAACAGTTACTTTGGAACTGTTTCTTTTGAATGAACTTTCCTCCTTCTATAGTTATGAGCTAATTGTATCATCTCGCCAAATTTCAGTGAAGCCTGTTATTCTTTTAAATTGCATTTGAGATGTTAGACAATGGAAATGGTGATGCTATGTATATAGCATCATTTTTCTTCTTTAATGGCCATTTTAAGTTACACTTCTATTAAACGTGCTATGCCATATTTATAGATGTGTTTCCACAACTCACTGATGGCAGTATTAGCTAGATACTCTTTATAACATCTTCATGAGTATATGTTTTCTTGTTCCCCTCTTTTTAAATGGAAAAAGCTTGTCCGTTGTAGCTGCAGTTTGTATTATTTAATTGTTCTTCTAATAGTGCAGGATTTAAGCTATGGAATTTATTGCCACTGAAATTAAGATTCCCTGTCAATTTAGGGAATTTAAATGGGAACTGGGCAAATATTTGGGGAATAGGGCTATCCTGATGGTTTACATTGCCTCAATGTCATAAAAGCAACGTCCTTAATTTCCAGTTGCTTGAGAGAAATAATAAAAAAGAGTCATGTCTGTCTTCTGAACTTTTTTTTTAATTTTAATTTTTATTTATTTGTCAAGAACATATTTGGTAATAAGTATAAGCATAGATTGGATACATAAAATAGATACAAATAGAAGAAACATTAGGACAGGAACTTCCCAGGTATTGAACATTTAGTCAGATCTAGAATGACTGTTATATTCTACATTTTATTTATTTCAGGGGGAAAAAATCCTCATATCGATTACAAGAATTGGAATACTTAGCTGTGATGGCTGAAGGTCATATACAATAATATTAAACTTAGGTTATGGAATTGAATCCTTACAAGAAAAAGTAAGAAAACTGAAAATCACAAGGAAGAAGAATAGAATATTCTTAGAAATAGCAATGCTGACTAGTTGAAACCCTCACTATAAGCACTTTAAAATTAAATATTTGAAGTAGAAAATTTATCCTGAAAATTCCAACTTATTCGTTCTACGCAGTACGCATTAGGCTTTCACAACCTCATTTTAAAAATTATAATTTTGAAATGAAAAATTTCAAAAATAAGAATTTTCAGAGGCTATGAACTCACCTTTTGAATTTCTTAGAATCTACTATCAACATGTGCAGCTTCTTTTTAGATTTAGTTTGTTTTAGACCAAAGTCGTCACTGGTAAGTGTAAACAAAGTGACAAATCCACCATCATCACCCAGCAAGATGTCATCCTTCACTAGAAGTTCTGATGGGCGAGGAATGGCAGAAACAGAGAGGAGGCAATGTTCCATGGGTTTGATTATACAGCAGTTATCCTACAAAAACAAGCAATTGTTCATTATATGCTTAAGCATTTATCTTATTAGTTGACTGGAAACAGTAATTGGTTTCAGAACTTTGCTTAAAGACTTTATTTATTTATTTATTTATTTATTTATTTATTTATTTATTTATTTATTTATTTATTTTTCATATTTCTATGCCGCCCACTCTCCAAGGACTCTGGGGGCTTACACCAAAGACAGTATACTAAATAGCATATTGCCCCCTAACAATCTGGATCCTCATTTTACCAACCTTGGAAGGATGGAAGGCTGAGTCAACCTTGAGCCGGTGAGATTTGATCCGCTGATCTGCTGAACTAGCAGTCAGCTGAAGTAGCTGCAGTAGTGCACTCTAACCACTGCGCCATCTTGGCTCTTAAATTTCTTTAGAAGAAATTTCACACAATTCGTTTGACTCAGTTTCAATCCTTAAATTATATTTTACTTTGTTCCATAATGATATCTTCATCCATGTTCATTATTTTTTCTGTGAACAGTGAACATTGTATAATTCTCTAAAGGGAGTTCTTATAAAGTACAACTTTGGGGAGAAAGAATGTTTAATATAGAATGATATAAGTTTTAAAAATACACTTGGAATAAAGCTACACATTTAACAGAAATAATAAAAAAAAATCCTGCCTGTAATAGCTGGACAATATCTTCTGGCTTTTTCCCCTATGGATTAAAAATTGAGGTTTTGTTTTTTTTTAAAAAAAAATACAGCAATTTGCGTTTTTGCCTTTAAAAATATTTTATTCAAACTATATAACTTTACTGCTATTTGTGTGCAACTTTCAGTAGTTTATTTTTGTTTAGAAATTGTTTTTGCAGACTTTTATAAGGAAAAGATAAATACTAGTGAATGTTACAGTATGTGATAGTAATGTTTGTCTTGCTGCTAATGGAAATAGAATGCTCCAATCTGCTGCTAGGTAATTTTTTTAATAAAATAATTTTAAATCCATAGTAGTAAAATGTACCCTGTATATTAAGACTACTCTGATATACTCTATAGATCAATAACGGGACTTGGTGAGCAGTAGATATTGTATCCAGGGGTGAGTTCTACTTACCTTTACTACCAGTTCGAATTGTGCCCCCGCGCGTGCTCTTCTGCGCATGCACAGATCACCTATGATGACGTCTGGGTCAGTCTGGGTCAGTGGGTGGATTCTTCTGCCAGTTTTACTACCGGTTCTTGCTGTCCGCCCACCAACCCACTGGCCGGGTCGAGCTGGATGCTGACCTCAGAAGGCAAGCAGGCGTGGGGGACTGCCGGGAAGGCAGCATGGAAGGCAGGCAAGCATGGCAGGGCTGTGGGGAAGTGAGTAGGCTGCTAGCTCCCTTCCCCGCAGCCCTGCCATACTTGCCTGCCTTCCACATGGCCTTCCGCTTTCCTGCCTTCACAAGCTGGTCACTGGGATGCCGGGAAGGCAGTGTGGAAGGCAGGCAAGCATGGCAGGGCTGCGGGGAAGGGAGCTAGCAGCCTACTCCCTTCCTCGCAACCCTGCCATGCCTGCCTGCCTTCCACGTAGCCTTCCGCTTGCCTGCCTTCACAAGCTGGCCACTGGGATGCTGGGAAGGCCACGTGGAAGGCAGGCAAGCATGGCAGGGCTGTGGGCTGTGGACCAGCTCAGGGGCATGGCCAGCCAGTGATTGCTACCGGTTCGGTGAACCAGCTCCAATATCTGCTACCAGTTCACCCGAACCGGTCCGAACTGGTAGCATTTCACCCCTGCTACATACCCATCCCTAAGTGTCATACCAGGGCACTCCCTTGTGTTTTATAATCCCATATGATGATAGTTCTTTCTGTCACACCAACAGCACGTTTCAGTTGACCAAGGTAGTCACATCCAGTGATCCAGGAACTGTCCTGATGAAAAAGAAATATTGGCAAAATTAACCTCTCCGATTACTTACCTTCCCAGGCAACAGCCTTGATTATAACTGATGTTCAAAGAACTAAAAAATATTATAAAATTAATTTATATATAAGAAGAAAGAACTGCCTGCAGCAAATTGTCCATTCTGATGTCAAGCAGACTTGGAAATGTGGTAAAATAAATAAATAACCCCCTATTGACTATTGTATATTATTTATAGAACCATTTAAAATGTTTATTTGGAAACTTCAATATAAGATAGGAATATGGTAACCAGATGTGAACCAAAGCTTTCTATTGTAGGAACGTTATCCCATTTTGTTTCCAAACCCCATCTTATTTTGTTAAAATTCTAAATTGGCTTTCATCAAGTAAGTTGTTTTGTCCATACATCTCCAATCTTTTTAAATCGGTGAATACACTTTGCATCTTTAGAACTTGTTATGGGAACTCTCATAAAATGGCTGCCAAGAAAAGTGTTACCCAAAATAGCCTTATACTCAATGGCAAACAAAGGACTTGTTGTATGTTTTTCCTCAGTATACCTTAAGTTATTGTGTTTCAGATAAAAACTTTGATTTGAGCAGCTTGCTCACCATATTTTTGAAAGTTAAAATAATGTAATAAAACAAGATCAACCCAGCAATCTGGTGGGCACCAAATAATGTATTGATAGGGTGCTGTTATCCTTGAGGGAGAGGTTGGGATCAAGTCTTTGCACATATTCTAAATTGGACAAGTTTGGAAGTGGTATCAATTATCACAAATGGTCACAGATCAGAAAAGTGAGATAAGTTCAGGAACTTCTCTGAGTTTGATTTGCATGACTTCCATCATTTTTTCTGGAAGCTAACTGGGTTTTAGAATGAATAATTTAAAGATATTATATGCCGTATCTTATATGAAAAGGACATAATTTGTCTGGAAATGTAAATTTATACAGGAAACTGAGAAATAAAGTATTATTACCCTCATACATTTTAATGAATTAAATGGCTTCATTAGCTGAACCAAATGTTAGAGAAATGCAAACTTACTGGGATGCTGGTGCTTGCTAGTATCCGCATCTGGAAAACCAAGAATAAGACACAGTCAGAAAAAAGTAGAAAGGGAACAGTATCCACTCAAGTAAAATATGGCAGAAATTCTCATTCATTTTCACAATTCTCACAAGAGCTCTGGTAGCGCAGCAGACTAAAAGCACTGTTATTAACATCAGCTGCCTGCAATTACTGCAAGTTCAAATCTCACCAAGCTCAAGGTTAACTCAGCCTTCCATCCTTTCTGAGGTAGGTAAAATGAGGACCTAGATTGTGGGGGCAATAAGCTGACTTTGTATAAATATACAAAAAGTATAAAGGCTATTGCTTAACGCATTGTAAGCCGCCCTGAGTCTTCGGAGAAGGGCAGCATATAAATCAATTTTTTTTAAAAAAATTCTCACATGAAGCAACAGTGCCTTTTTTTTGGCTTAGGGAGATGATTGGATTTACCTGTTTGGATTTGTTGACCATGATTCATACCACACATAGGGGAATCAGGCCATTATGGTTTGTTCAGCTAACTCTAGTTACAACAAAATAATATGCAAAGGATTTTACTCTCCGATAATATGGCTAGAATGAAGGATTATAGGTCCTGTACCCTTCGTGTTAGAAAGGGGTTTTACTGATCTTCCATGTAAATGATGCTTCCAAAAATCCCTTCTTCTGCATAAATATTGATGTGTAGAAATCTTGATCCCTTTTGTATTTAATCAGCCTGTTTTGCTGTAAGGATGCATAAATTGCATAGTATTCACTTACCCCTATGCACATACTTAAAGTATAGGAGGCAAAGAGATAATGAAACTGTAAAAAAAAAGGTTCCCCTCGCACATATGTGCGAGTTGTTCCCGACTCTAGGGGGCAGTGCTCATTTCTGTTTCTAAGCCGAAGAGCCAGCGGTGTCTGATGACAATTCCATGATCATGTGGGCGACATGATTAAACGCCGAAGGCGCACGGAGCGCTGTTACCTTCCCACCAAAGTGGTCCCTATTTTTCTACTTGCATTTTTACATACTTTCGAACTGCTAGGTTGGCAAGGGGAAGAGGAAAAAGCAGATGAGATAAAGTGGAGAAGTGATTGACAAACCCTTAGTTTTTTGTCTGTGTTAATTAATATATATTCAAATGAATATTTTTAACTTACCAACATGTTGGCACCAACCTTCATGTTGCAAACAGGAGTATGTAACAATGAATTAACAAACTTTTCTCTGTTGCAAAATATCATCAAAAGATGAACAATATTCAGGAAGAGGATCATTTTAGCAATGGAATCCCAGTTTCAGAATGTCTTCACAGAGGAATTTTACAGATAGTACTGAAGTTTTGTTTTGGGTTTTTTTGGGGGGACATACTCTATAATTTTACTAATGTTTTGAACACTTACTATTAATTTCTAGCGTAGCTGACATTTTCAAAGTTTAAGAACTTTTATTAGTACTATGATTGTGAAACGTTTATACTCATGGCTGGTTTTTTATTTTTTATAAATATCGCTTCTATAAATTTGTGCCAGAATAATATATCAAAGCAAATAATTTTCAGATTCTCAAAATTTGAAATGACATTTCTTTCGTATGAAGTTCAATCTGATTCAAATATAAGGACAGGACAATGCCCTTCACAATTATTTAAGCGTCTGTCCACATTAGACAGGATTTTAATTCAATAAAGAAAATAAATATTTCAAAATCACCTGGCCAGAAAAAATAGACAACATTCCTTTCTGAGATGCTGTTAGCAAAAAATCAAGTTGAGGTATCTTTACCATGCATCGAATTACATCACTTCTCTTGACTCCTACAAGAAAGATAAACAAAAGATAATTTAAACTAGTAATTACTCAATACATATGAAGGCAGGGAGTTAATTAAACTGTTAATTAATTAATTATTTAGTTAACTGATCTAGGAACAATGACACATATTTTGATGACATTCAGGTAAAAATACTAAAATGTTGCCAAAATGTTTTGAAAATCACTGCTTGGGAATCTATGTATTCATATCATATTGTACTATTGGTATCATAAGCATATCAGTACATAGCAATAGCAATAGCACTTAGACTTATATACCTCTTCATGGTGCTTTACAGCCCTCTCTAAGTGGTTTACAAAGTCAGCATATTGCCCCCAACAATCTGGGTCCTCATTTTACCGACCTCGGAAGGATAGAAGGCTGAGTCAATATTGAGCCTGGTGAAATTCGAACTGCCAAATTGCAGTCAGCTGGCAGTCAGTAGAAGTAGCCTGCAGTACTGCATTTTAACTACTGCACCACCGCAGCTCTATATGAATGAATGAATGAATGAATGAATGAATGAAGGAAGGAAGGAAGGAAGGAAGGAAGGAAGGAAGGAAACATGCATCTGTATGTGCCTCCTAGCTAATGAATATAGTAAAAATATATTCCCTTAGAAAAGTAATATCTAGAGAGGAGATCCTAACATGTATAGGATAACATCATCCTGCTTGAGATACAACTGACTTTGTTGCACATGTGCCATACTACCAAAAATGTTCCCAAAATTATCAATATGGCACTCTTACTATTACAGAGGATGCTGCACACCATCCAGACATGTTTACATAGTCAACCTAATCTACATTTTATATTATTAAAAAGCATGAGATTACAAAGTTCACTGCCTAAACCATGATGTCTGGCTGTGGGTCTATCAGGTGTTGACCATGTCATATAGAAACTGAAACTTGGAATAGGAGAGGAATCAATTGTAAGAAGCATCAATAAAGTTGTAACTACTGTATGTGAGAAAGCATGAACTGGTGTCAAACATAGCCTGTGAGCTAAAACAAACAGGCAAGTCACAGATCACCAGGTCCATGCCTCTGCCAAACTCTCTGAATAAGAGGCGCCCTGGGCGACACAGCCTATCATCAACCTCCTTGCTGGCACCATCCAATGGTTGCCATGGTCCTTGGCTTGCAGATTTGCCAGACACACTGTCCAGGTAAAAGAGGGGTAGAAACTGGCTTTTTTCAGAAAGAGCTTGCTGATCCCTAATTTACGCTGATGCAAATATGAACCAAGGGTTTCCCTTGATTGCATGGATCACGAGAAACTGGCAAGTTCTTTAAGAGATGGGAGTACAGGAACACCTTACCTGTCTCTTAAGAAACCTATATGTGGGTCAAGAAACAACCATTGCTGGACATGGAACAACTGACTGGTTCAAAATAGGCTGTATATTGTTTCCCTGTTTATTTAACCTATATGCAGAATATAGGATGCAAAATGCTGGACGGGATGAATCAGAAGTTGGAATTAAAATTGACAAGAGAAATATCAACAACCTCAGATATGCAGACAATACAACCCTAATGGCAGAAAGTGAAGAGGAACTAAAGAGCCCCTTGATGAGGTTGAAAGAGGAGAGTGCAAAAATTGGCTTGAAACTTAACATTAAAAAAAAATTAAGTTCTTGGCATCTGGTCCCATCACTTCCTGGTAAATAGAAGGGGAAAAAATGGAAGCAATGACAGATTTTATTTTTTTTGGGATCCATGGTAACTGCAGATGGTTATTGCAGCCATAAAATTAAAAGATGCTTGCTATTTGGGAGGAAAGCAATGGTAAACCTAGACTAGAACCCACAGAGACATCAGTTTGTTGACAAAGGTCTGTATAGTCAAAACAATGGTTTTCTCAGTAGTAATGTATGACTGCAAGAGTTGGACTATAAGGAAGGCTGAGCGCCGAAGAACTGATATTTTCAAATTGTAGTAGAAGACTCTTTAGAGCCTCTTGCACTGCAAGATCAAATCAATCCTAAAGGAAATCAACCTGACTGCTCTTTGGAAAGACAGATACTGAAGCTGGAGCTCAAATACTTTGGCCACCTAATGAGAAGACAGGATTCACTGGAAAAGACCTTTATGTTGGGAAAGACAAAAGAAGAATGGGACAGCAGAGGATGAGATGTTCATTGACACAATGAACTTGAATTTGGGCAAACTCCAGGAGACAATGGAGGACAGGGGGCTTGGCATGCTATGGTCCATGGGATCACAAATAGTTAGATATGACTCAGCGACTGAACAACAACAACAGAGAGAAAGTAGAAATTCGTAGGGTGATGATTGCTGCAAGACGTAGCATGAATGAATGTGATGCTGTTAGGTGACATGAATGGATAGGAATGGGCTGAAAAAGAGATTGAGCCGGTGGTGGGTTGCCCCTGGTTCGGACCAGTTTGCAAGAACTGGTAGTAAAACCGGCGGGAGGCCCCATCCACCGCCGCGGATGTCATCATCAGTCATCTGTGCATGCGGAGAAGTTTCTGCACATGTGCAGAAGCAAGGTACATGTGCGAGCGAAGCCAGCGCGCGCGATCCCGTTGCGAACCGGTAGCAAACGTAAGTAGAACCCACCCCTGGATTGAGCTATATGGGATACCAAGAATGAACAAGAACTGTGATTACTTAGTGGGTACCTTCTTAGAAAAATGTCTGTTAAGCATAAATCAGTTCACATGTATCTATGACAAAGGAAGGAAAAATGCCAAATAAGACAGCAATGAGAAAATGTGATTAAAGAAAATATATATTACACAACATATAATAATGTGGAAAATATGTTTAACCAATGTAACTAAACCATGCATACATTATTTTGCTTATACTAATAAATGAGGCTGAACTTTTATTTGGGGATGGAACATTGAAAACCAGACCTGCTTTTGCAATCCGTTGCTTTTTGGATACCAGGAAAACCATATTTTCTTCATCAAGCTGGGCAGCAAGAATATCACCTTCCACTATGTAGTATCCAAAGATCTAAATGAAACCCAAAAATGTATGATATGAAAATTTAAATAGTCATGAAAAAAATAAATATTTGCATGTGGGTATTATAAATTGTATACAATGGTGAAATCTAAACTGGTTTATTACCGGTTCCTGGCTGCGCATGTGCATTGTGTGGCAAATGAGCGCTGCACGCACGCATGCACAATACCCACCACGCACCAAATGCGAGGTGCATGCGTGTGCAGTGCACGCCAAAAGGAGGCATGGGGCAGGGTTGGTTCTAAATTTTTTTACTACCGGTTCTGTGGGTGTGGCTTATTTTGTGGGAATGGCTTGGTGGGGGGTAATGTGACTGGGTGGGCGTGGCCAACTTTTTTTTTAATCTTTTAAAAGCATTTTTTCTACAACCTTAAGAGGTTACAGAAAACAATGCTTTGAAAAGCCTCTGACAATCAGGCAACTCAGCTGGGATCGTCAGAGGCTTTTCAAAACATTTTTTAACCACCTCTTCAGCTGAAGAGGTTGTAGAAAAAATGCTTTGAAAAGCCTCTGACGTTCCCGGCTGAGCTGCAGGATCATCAGAGGCTTTTTTTTTTTTACTTTAAAAGCATTTTTTCGGCCAAAGAGGTTGTAGAAAAAATGCTTTTAAAAGTAAAAAAAAAAAAAAAAGCCTCTGATGAGGTGGGCAGGGTAAGTGAGCGGCAACTGGGCCGGGACCGGTTTGGGGGCATGGCTAGCCAATGTTATTACCGGTTCTCGGAACTACTACAAATTTTTACTACCGATTCTTGCAAACTGGTGCGAACCGGGAGCAATCCACCACTGGCATGGGGTAAGTAGATCAGCTGAGGTGCATGATCTTCGGAGCCTTTTTTTTACTTTTAAAAGCGAACAGGTTGTAAAAAAAATGCTTTTAAAAGTAAAAAAAAAGGCTCTGATGATTGTGCGCCACAGCTGTGATTGTCAGAGCCTTTTTTTTTTTACTTTTTTAAAGCATTTTTACTACCGGGGAAGCTGGTAAGAAAGTGGAAGTCACTCCCACTCCAGCTGCATTTTTTGCCTGGCTGTGGACATTCTGTTTCTCTGTTTAGGTAAGGATATATCTCTGAAACAATAACCCAGTGGCTCACAAGTTATCTGGTGTTAAATAAAACCTGGGAAGGGAAAAATCATAAACACTGTCTTGACTTATGAATAAAGCACATCGCATTTGTACAAAGTGTTGTGTGCTTTATCTTTATTACAGTATGCATCTTGTTCCCACGTATGGGTTAAAATGACATTTGAATTAAACCAAGAAACAATTTTGCTTGAAAGCTAATGTTTGTGGAAGATTAGCATTCAATAGCAAATCTATTATGCAGTCTCATTGCTTTCAATCAATACATTAACAATCCTAAAGATGATAGATAGATAGATAGATAGATAGATAGATAGATAGATAGATAATCAGACCAGAATTATGCTAATCCTGGTATTATATGAAGAATTGTGCTCTTATATTAAAGGAATGGCAAAATTCATAGAAAGATTCCAAAATTCTATTAACAGCACAATTTATTCTAAAAAGTAAAATATTTTCATTGTACAGTTTTATAAACAATTATAAATATATCAACATGCTGCAGTACCATAGAAAAGTGAAAAATAAAAACACCAGAGCTTTCACTTAATAGCTATTATAACACATTTTATACGTATCACATCTAAATGTTATTAATGCACTAATAAATGTTACTAATGCAAGACAGAACAGTGGAAATGCCAGACTGTTTTTATTTTTAGTACCATCTTATTCTTGTACCCTTGACTTCCATGGCAACAAAATAATCACAAAAAGTATGTTATTAACCCCATCCAGCAATTTTGCCAGGCATTTGAGAATGCTTCAATGTCTTATATCAAAGCCAAATATAAAAGCCAACAGCATTTCTTTAATATTTGTATTCTACCAATCCAAAATGACTTTCATTCTTATGCAGCCTTATGTCAGTAGAGGAAAATACATTGTAATGCCACGATACAAATTCCATGACTTGAATTTGGATTGCAAATATGAAAGGTTGGAGGAATGCTGTGATGTCAGAAGGCACCAGTGGTGGGTTTCAGCAGGTTCTGACCAGTTCTGGAGAACCGGGAGCAGACATTTTGAGTAGTTCAGAGAACCGGTAGTAAAAATTCTGACTGGCCCCGCCCCCATCTATTCTCTGCCTCCCAAGTCCCAGCTGATTGGGAGGAAATGGGGATTTTGCAGTATCTTTCCCCTGCCATGCCTACCAAGCCAAGCCACGCCCACCAAGCCACACCCACATAACTGGTAGTAAAAAAGTTTAAAACACACCACTGGAATGCACACTTAGTTTTTTTTCCAAATCTTGGTCGTAGAGAACACCCATGATTGTCTAAATTGTTTTCTAAACCAGAAATAGCAGCTTCAATCTCTAACCATATTTGAAGATCCCACACTATAAGAGTAAAGAGAACTGACTAAAAGAAGTGAACTGGCCAATACAGAACCTCAAAAGAACACTACAGAATGTCATGAATACAGGTAGTCCTCGACTTACAACCACAATTGAGCCCAAAATTTATGTTGTTATTAAGTGAAACATTTTTAAGTGAGTTTTGCCCCATTTTACGATCTTTCTTGCCACAGTTGTTAAGTGAATCACTGCAATTGATGTTAGTAACCCGGTTGTTAAGTAAATTTGGCTTCCCCATTGACTTTGGTTATCAAAAGGTTGCCAAAGATGATCACATGACTTTGGGACACAGCAAAGGTCATAAGTATATGAACCAGTTGCCAAGCATCTGAATTTTGATCACATGATCATCGGGATGCTACAAATGTTGTAACTATGAAAAATGGTCATAAGTCACTTTTTTCAATGCTGTTGTAACTTTGAATGGTCATTAAATGAACTGTTCTAACTCGAGGACTACCTGTACTATGTCTGGGGTGAAATTTCTTTTCATAAGTGTTAGGTCTTATTTTAAATTATGCTGAACTCCGTGACTGCTGGATTGTCCTTTTTTTTATAGTGTATTTATTGTACCGCCTATTTTTGTGTAAAATTCACTTCAGATTTACTTTGAGAAAAAATACTTGATCAAAAAGCTACATCCATTTTGTTTATTTATTAAAACCAACAGTTAAAAATGAATAGCCTCACCAGTGCAAATATTTTCAGCTGATGTTTCAATAGCAGTTACTTCAACCACCCTGCAAGAAATGACCTAAATTGTACTGTTAGCAAAACTGTAAGTGCTTCAATTTTCTGCTATCAGCTCAAATCACTGCCTGCTCTACCATATCATAGTCCACTCATCAGACAGTTGAAGGCATAAGACCTTCTCAAAAGATGACAGTGTAACCAAAAATAATAATTCTATGGAACAAGCTTTATCAATGAATCAAGATTTGATTGGGATCAACATCTGCAGGTTTGATAAGACAGTAACAGTAACATTAGTTGGGTACCACAGATGTGGGCCTAAAAAACATAATCCATAAGAAAGTAGAAGAAAACTTTTACTAGCAGAAGATTCTTACAGTACTGTATAAATATTGCTGATCTATGGATTCATTGAATAAGATGCAGTACATATCCTACTGAAACAATGCAGTTGGGCTTATTCTGACATCATTACATTATTTAGATGACTTCAGCATTGTAGGATAGCATAGGAAGTGGCCTGAGTCTCTGTGTATTTGTTTTGCTGCTGAAATAAAAGGAAAATAAGCAAAAGAGGACATAAACAGGATTAGTTCCAAATGAGTTGATTTAGGAGTCTTTAAAGTAAAACTCCCTTGATAATTGATTTCAGATGTTTTGCTTGTTTCCTTGGCAGAAGCTGACTAGAACAATTTGGAGTTCATTTCCATGGTCAATGATCAAAGGAATGACTATCTCTTTGCTGAAGATATAAATTTGCAAAAGGCATCATTTTTCACCTTGGGAGCAGTGAATTTTAGCTATAGGGTAGACTAGATGGACAGACTATCAAACTATAGTATTGAGGATTAGGGTTTTCTTTTTTTAATGGGAAGCAGCCTAAAAGCTGTTCCACATTTACTGTAAAATGAAGCAAATCTAAATCACTCAGATTTCAAAGTCTGAAACAGGACAGTCTTGGTGTGAAAAGCTGTTTTGCATTTGAAACAGGATGTTTCCAATTTGAGAGCCTGAATTCAAAACTTTAGCATATCGCTAATCAAAACATTTAGAATAAACATTTCCTGTTTCTTTTACTAGGGCAGATTCCTCCAGTTTGAGTTTCTCTTTCTTTCTTTTCCTCTCACTTAGAAAAGCCTTTCCAGGCCATTGTGGCTTTATCCTTCCACCTTCTCCTTTTTTAAAGTGAAACTTCTAACCTTTACTATGCCACCCATGCCTCTCTCTACCTTGTTCCCTGTTCTTTCTGGCTTTCTATATTTTTGCTGATCGGTCAGATATGACATTGATTGTCAGAAAAAGATGATTTATCAAAAGAAAATTAACTCTTACCTCACACCATTCTGTCCGCCCATCTGGGTTGTTGCTAATCTTCCTATAGAAAGTTTTAACATCTTGGGCTTTCACATCTGGGCCAAAAAGACTCTTTACTGCATCAAAGAATTTGTCATAATCCATTTCTTCTGCAATGAAAACAAAATAAGGCACTTACAGAATATAACCACAGAGGCTAGCATATCATTTTTAAAATTTCTTTTATCATCATCACCATCACCATCACTCTGCTAAACAAATAATTCCCTCAACACAGTCAAACTATTTACTAAGTCTGCACTACTATTAATCTTCTCATCGTTCCCACCTCCTTCCACTTATGACTGTATGACTGTAACTTTGTTGCTTGTATTCTTACGATTTATATTGATATTGTTTCCTGATTGCTTATTTGTACCCTATGACTATCATTAAGTGTTGTACCTTATGATTCTTGATGAATGTATCTTTTCTTTTATGTACACTGAGAGCATATGCACCAAGACAAATTTCTTGTGTGTCCAATCACACTTGGCCAATAAAATTCTATTCTATTCTATTCTATTCTATTCTATCCTATCCTATCCTATCCTATCCTATCCTATCCTATCCTAGTGTAGAAATCCACTATTAATCTTTTATTTTCATTTTAACCCCAAAATCTTACCAACATACCCTGCTATTAAAAATCTTGAAAATTCTGAAAATGTATAGTAAGAAACCTTTGGCTTTGGAGTGTATAATTAAAAATTATATACTAGTCTCTTTAAGAAGTGTTTAGGGTCCCCATATATCTCACACAAAAAGAGGGAAATTGTAAAAATTCCATTCAACACTGCTGAAAGGTTTTTGTTGTCACCCCCAATGAATTTGCTATGCTTTAAGATCAGCATTAAACCTCAGGTAATTCTGTAGCAATCCATCCTGATGGAATTTCCTATTCCCAAGGATTTATGACCCTCTGTTCAATTCTCTTATTTTATAAGGGTTTGCATACATATCCATGTCAAGTGCCATACTATACAGTACTTTATTAGTCATACTGCTGTCCTATTAATGTTCTATTCATGGGGCTCTGGATTTAACAACTTGAGTACAATGCTGCATAGTTATATTTTATTTGCCACCATCCACCTGTCTGTAATTGTATTTTGCCTTCTTCAGTCATCCAAAAAAGAGCTAATAAAAAAGTAGATACGTATATCAGAGAACAGTATATCAAATGAAGTACTTCCTTACCAGAATCCTTTAAAAGCAGACCTAATCTTTCCGCCCTTTTCCGAGCCACTGTTTTGTCAACCAATTGCTGAAACAGTTGCAAGGATCTTTTAAAGAAGTCTCCATCTGGTAGGTCAAGTAGATCATCTTTGTGAATCTTTCTTCTGGACATCACAGCTACTGAGATAGACGAAACGCAGAGAAGCTCTTTTGCCAATCAGATTATTTTCTTCTGTTTTTATTCCTAATAATAACATTTGTGGAAATGCCCCCTACAGATCTTAAGTATTGCTTTGGTGACTGGAAAAATGATAAGTGCAGTAACTGTTGAGTCAATGGGCCATCAAATACCTGATGTCACAACTCCTCCCTCAGTTTCATTGGTCTATTGGCCAATCTAGATCACAAACCAAACTGGCAAGCTGATGCCCATAAGGGAGTTTACCTTCAGATCAAAGATGAGTCATAGTAAATTCAAAAGGCAAATTGGCGATTTAAGGGAAAATATCGTGTAAAAATTTATTTAATTTTATTTCAGCAATTGCAAAGGGATAAAATCCTTGTTTGTAATGCAGCTGTAGACAATTTGCTAAAATGCAATGAAAATAAGGAAAGCCAAGGTACTATAGATTGAATAAAATAATTTACTATAGTACAATGTTTCCCAGTGGCTTCACTTTCAGATATATTGGGGTAATAGCTTTCCATCAGAATAGCCTTTGGCTGTGCTGGTTGGCAATACTGGGAATTGCAAATTCCTCAGCTCAAGGAAAGCTAATATAATGCTGCAGAGGTAGAAATAAAAGAAAGTGTCTTGTTTTCATAGTTTCCCACAAACTAATATCCTCCAGATGAGTTGCATTACTACTATCATCAACCAGCATGACCAATAGCCAGGGAAACTAAGAAAACAGGGTGTTGAAAATAATGGTTTAATTAACCACTGTTATGTTGTGCTAACAAACATAATGTAGCTGACTTTATTTTGACTTAGTATATTACCCAAACCTAGGCATTGTGGTTTGCATATCAGAGTTTATGCAGTTGGTGAACTCAACCACAGTTTTCTGAATAATCCACAAATTATAAACAAAACTATTGCTTTGTGCAACGTGTGGACCAAGGTTTTTGTGTTCACCAACCATGGTTGCCCCATAGTTCCTCTATAAGCATCCAAGAGTCAGTTGATGGTCAACCACTGTGCTCAGTCAAATCTTATAAATATTTTTCCTCTAATCCTAAGCAAGTAAATAATAATTTGGTGGAAAGATTTAGAGGAGAGCAGTCATGCATTTACTGTAACTCCAATCAGTTTCAATGATGGAAGATTAGATTTGGTGAGTACTATTAAGTACATGCTGGTTGTATTGTAGAGACTAATGGTGAACACAATGTATCTTCTAATAATAATAATTTATATCTTCGAAGGAAATCTTACAAAGTGATAAGAACCCATAGAATGAAATGCTTGAGTTTCAAACTTTCTTCTCCAGAAATCCACAAGACCTACAAGCTTTGTTCACACCTCTTGTCTTATACAACTGCTTTGAAGTTGTGGTCTCCCCTTTATCTTCCATGGAGCATCTCACCTAGTTTTCTTCTCTGAACCCTGATCTTTATAAATAAAGTCAGAGCTCTCACAACTTGCAGTGTCATTCTAACAATTAAAAGGGGGAAAATGAAATAATTTTGATAAAACAAACTCGATTTCATTGAGGGCCGCATCAGGGTTGTGTTTGATCTTGGGGCAGGGGGAGCATGGCCAACTCGATGTCACTCGTGTCGGGGGCGCCTGTGGTGGCCTGACCACTTTGCCAGCAAAAAGAGAGCTCAGGAGTGCTGCCTGTGGTCCTCGCGAGCTCCATTTTCAGCTGCAATGGCCTCCTGCAACCCTCTGCCAGCAGAAATGGAGCTTTGTTTTCGGCTGCAACAGCCTCCTGCAACCCTCTGCCAGCTCCGTTTTTGCTGGCAGAGGCACTGTGGGCCAGTCTTTTGCTGTTTCCAAGGTGGCCCTGCAGGCCAGATCTAAGCACCTGCCTTGAGTTTGACACCCCTGATATAGGTCATATCATCTCATGGTCTTGCAGCATATGGGTGTATTAATTAGTGGTTTCAGACCTTCTTGTCACCTTTGAAAGAACAATTGCAATGATACTAAATTATTATGCAATGGCATTGTACAAATGACACAGATTATGTATCATCATGATATAGTCATTGTACACATCATTTTCCCTTCCTTCTATCCCTTTCAGGTACCCATATATTAAGGTCACCAGACTGGACAAGGTTGCTCTATAATATTTATTCACAAATTTTACTGCTGCTCATTTAAACATGGGAAATGTATGTTAGCATTTGTATGTATGCGCATTTCAACTAGTTTCAGAGTCTTTCATATAGTATATGTACTATGCTCAGCTTTCCATCCTTCCGAGGTTGGTAAAATGAGGACCGAGATTGTTGGGGGCAACAGGGTGACTCTGTAAACCACTTATAGAGGGCTGTAAAGCACTGTGAAGTGGTATACAAGTCTAAGTGCTATTGCTATTGATCTAGCTGATGGGACTATACTTTTAATGCTAAGCCGAATGATTTATACTAAAAGCTGTGTAAAAGGATTTCCTGATTTGTAATGTGACAGTCCAAATATTAAGTGGAGTTCTATTGTTGACATTTCACATGCCATAATGATTCCTCTTCAGTTTAAAAATGTACCCAATTGGGGAAAAAATACTGGTATCTCTTTTCTCTCCCAACTAATAGGTAGTTTCCACAATGGTTATTAAGTTGAAAGAAATATAGCACAAAAGCAAATATGTCTTCCAGAGCTTTGGCACTACAAATTCAGAATAATTAGAGTTAGGGGTGAAAATCCATCATCCAAGAAGTTCATTCAACCCTCGGTCTAATTTCAAAAGTGCTCTGCAAGCAAACAGTTCAAAATACTGGCACAAATAGACTGCCTTCTTGAGAGTGTTCAATAGAGAGAACGAATAGAATAGTCTTCAAGTCTATTCAAAATGCTTTGATTTCTTTCCTTCTTGTATCCAAAGGAACAATGAGGTTTTGAGTTTCAATTCTCCCCAATAATAACATCCAACCTGCAGGCAGGATCTACCGATAACTCATGGACTACTGCTGTAGCCATTTATCTACAAGAGGGTTCCAATGAAATCAGTGGGCTTTAATTCTATTGAGAATTTGTAGCACTTATGATGCATATACTTAACAATGTTCCAACTTTAGCCAAGAATAAATGTGTGAGACAAATTAAAAAAACAACAACCTACCAACATGGTTTATGTGACAGATAGTGAAGTACAATGCAGCCTTTAGAAAGGGCTAATGTAAAGGGCTAATGCAGTTAAAAGTGGTTTGTTTTCTAAATCATCCATCTGTCCTGTAAGAAACCAATTAATCTATATTCTGTGTTAAGAATGTTTCAGCCACTGAACAATTGTAAAGCATGGAATATTTTACAAAGCACAGATACTAACAAGTGTTTCAAGAGTATGTTTTTTTACATCAAATATTTTGTGCTGTGTTTTTCTTACTGTTTATTTTGTGGAGCTCCATGTCACAGAAATTATGAATATCACCTTTGAAGCCCTGACGGTCAGAGCTTCAAAGATGACATTCAGAAAGTCTGTGACATGGAGCTCCACAAAATAAAAATAAGTATAAATTAATCCTGATTCCTGCTATGAGAACAGGCAGAAAAGCACACACACTGCAGCTTTCAAGGAAATTGATTCTTTAAACCCAAATCCAATGTTCATTTACATGGAAATGTGCCGCTTAGCAAAAATTGGAACTAGGTAATTATATCTGTATTTATTAAGGATTATTTTTTAAAAAAAGATAAATAAATATGGAAAAATATAGAAGTAGAAAAAAAAAGATAAAGAAAAAAATTGAAAACAATGAAGGAAAAACCTTTAATGAAGGAACTTCTGCTCTTGTTTACAGCAGTTATAAACATACTTGATACTATTTCCCACCTTCAAAATTACATAACGTAGTTCCCTTCTCCCCATTTAAAATTATTTTTACTCAGTAAATCCAGAGATCATCAGTTCATTTTTATCTATTTTCAGCAAAAAAAAGTCCATCAAGGGTTTCTAGACTTTTCTAAATAGCATAGTCTAAATATTAGCTTCTGTACTATGCCAATGTATTGTGTGATGGCAATTTTTTAAAAGGAACAAAGTTCAATTCCAGAACAGTATTAAGAGTATATGGGTAGAAAATATTTGCTTAAAACAGGTGTGTCTGACCATGGCCTACAGGCAGCCCTCAATAGACAGTAATGCGGCCCACAAAATAATAAATAAAGTTGTGAGTTATATACATTAATTATTTTATGTTTTTATATATGGCCCAAAGTAATTCTTCTCATTCATGTGACCCAGGCAAGCCAGAAGTTTGGACAACCATGCCTTAAATGTTATAACTAATTATGTGCATCCAGTCATTGCTGACTCTTAGAAACCAGAGAGATTCATAATAATCTGTCCCTAACTTGGTCTTTCAGCTCTTCCTAAACCGTACCAATTGTTTCTGTAACTGAGTCTATCCACTTTGCTACCAGCTGACCTCTTTTTCTCTTCCCTTCCACATTTCCCAGCATTAGAGCCTTCTCCAGAGAGCTTTGCATAATGTGTCCAAAATAGGATGTTATACCTATTAGTAACACATACACCTTAGTAACACAGTTACAGGGAAATCCAAAAGAGATTATTTACTTTTTGATAAGGTCCATCTTCAAAGATGCCTGAACAAACAGAACAGTCCCTGGGCACGAGGAAAATTTACCTTATGAATAGTTAATTGTTAAGGAACAGAAAACAAAAGTAAATGAAAGGAATTTGTCTTTGGTGCATATGCTCTCTGTGTACATAAAAAAAAAATATATATATTCATCAAGAATCATAAGATACAACACTATGGTTGTATGGTTAGAATGCAGTAATGCAGGCTATTTCTGCTGATTGCCAGCAGTTCAGCAGTTCAATTCTCACTGGCTCAAAATTGACTCAGCCTTCCATCCTTCCTAGATTGATAAAATGAGGACCCAGATAGTTGGGGGCAAAATGCTGACTCTGTAAACTGCTTAGAGAGTGCTATAAAGCACTGTAAAGTGGTATATAAGTCTAAGTGCTATTGCTATATCAGGGCTATAGGAGTGAGAAATCAAAAAACACCCCAGTAGACAATGGCAAACCTCTTGCATACTGTTGTCAAGAAAATGGCATGGATGTGTTCATATAATCTCTGGTAGAAAAGTTTGATTTGAAAACTTCAATACAGTATAACTATTCTGGAAGCATCATTCTCCTAATTCTAATTCCAAACCCACCAAAATGTACACAGAAACACTGAGAGAGAACTAATGCAAAATGATGGTTTTACTTTGGCTCTTACAGGAAACTAGAGGATGCTCTAATTCTGGAGTTTGGGAAATGCTTCACTGGATTCTTTTACCTCAGTTCACTCAGCTGGAGACTTATGGCTTTGCCTCTGCTCTATGATTCTTTGCTATGGCAAGGGGGCAAAAGTCACATCTCATCTAGATGTACAACAGTAACTGAAAAACACTGGGCTATGTAAACACTTTAGTATGACAATAAATTGCATTTTGAATGTTAAAATGAAGGAGCAATCTGTAGTTCAATACAAAATTACTCAATATCCATATATATTTAAGAATGCAATTCCATAAAATGTCTGCATTTTTCTTTATTTGTTGATGAAGTTTGCAATGTTAGCATGGTACTAGGAAAATAGGTTCCCCTGGAAGGGATTTTGTTAAGGAAAATGGCTCACAAAAATACATTCAATGTTTTGATTTTTTTAAAAAAAATACACAATTGATACCAAAACAGAATGGAACAAATTTATCATTAGGAAAGTGAGAAACCTGGATCAGATCAAACTTAATGGATTCACTCATCTTTAGGATTTTTAGGTCATACAAAACACCTACTTTTTCTATATAAAAGTAAAGGTTTCCCTCGCACATATGTTCCCGACTCTAGGGGGTGGTGCTCATCTCCGTTTCAAAGCCGAAGAGCCAGTGCTGTCTGAAGACGTCTCCGTGGTCATGTGCCCGGCATGTCTAAATGCCAAAGGTGCACAGAACGCTGTTACCTTCCCACCAAAGGTGGTCCCTATTTTTCTACTTGCATTTTTTACGTGCTTTCAAACTGCTAGGTTGGCAGAAGCTGGGACAAATAACGGGAGCTCACTCCGTTACACAGCACTAGGGATTTGAACCGCTGAACTGCCAACCTTTCGATCGACAAGCTCAGCGTCTTAGCCACTGAGCCACTGCATCCCTACTACTTTTTATATATGTGTGTGTTCTAAATACTTATATAGTAAGTTTTCCTTTTTTCCTATCTCAATGGTAGAATCTAGGAGTTAGCCAATAAAATTGAAAAATTGATAGGAAAAATGTAGCAATTCATAAACTATGGATGTTATTACTACAAACCGTAGTATTGAGTGGCTTTACAGGGGAGTTATTTTAATAGCTGGCCGCTCCTTGTTGACCTTGTCTGGAATCAGACCTAACCTGGATCAGGTAAGCCAATTTGATGATTACTTAGATGAGAGAGCATCAAAGGTACCAAAATTTTGGACTCCCCTGAGAAATCAAAAACATTAAAGGAAGGCAATACCAAACCACTTTCACACTGTTGCCAAAATTACACCATAAAATCGTCAAGCTTTTCTTTTCCATTCAAGGGGGATCATATCGTTCTAAGGGACCTTTTCCCCCTTTGTTGTCTGTGTATAGAGTGACAGAGAGGTGCTACAATTCCATTTGCCTCACTGCTGACAATCAGGGAAGCCGTCATCCCTAAAGTTGCAAAACTACTATTGTCGATTGGGAAGCTCCAAACATCACTACGCACGAACCCAGACGCCCGAAATATTAGCAATTCAAAAACCTCACGGCCCGGCCCTGGGGACGTGCAACCGTCAACACCAAGTCACACGTTTCGGGCTGTTGGCGCAAGCGCCGGCATTTCCCCCTTCCTCTCGTTTCGGCTATCGCGCCGGCCCTCAGAAAGGAGTTGCGTTACTACGGCGCCTTCCTTGCAGCCTTATTCGAAGATTCCCCCTCCCCATTTCCATTCTCGAGTTGTTGTCACCCTCTTGGTACAACAACTCGATCGCTCAGGTGCCATTAACGAGGCGGACCGCGCCAAGGGGGGAAAAAAAACCCGCGTCCGGATTTTCACGCTCCCTCCAAGAGTTCGCTCCTCCTTCGCGCAGCCTTTGGCGCCAAGAGTGCTCCGGAAAGCGGACAGCGGCAGTACGAGCAGATTCAGGCGGGTTGCAAATCTTGCGCGCGATTCTCTGCAGCCTGCAGCATGTGAACGGAGTTTCCCGACCATCCACCTCAAGCTATGTATTCCGGGAACAGCAGCCGCGGCAGCAGCCTGGAGCCCACGCCGGGGGAACAGGACTTGGAGCGGCGGCGACAGCAGCAGCAGCAGCAGGCGGCGGGGGACTCGGGGACGCCGTTCAGCGCCAGCACCTACCACCTGCTAGCCCTGCTTATCGCCGCTATCGGCTTCGTGGGCTTGTGCAACAACTTGCTGGTCCTGGTGCTTTACACCAAGTTCAAGCGGCTCCGCACGCCCACCAACCTCTTCCTGGTGAACATCAGCCTCAGCGACCTGCTGGTGTCGTTTTTCGGCGTCAGCTTCACTTTCCTCTCCTGCCTCAGGAATCGTTGGGCCTGGGACGAGGCGGGCTGCATGTGGGACGGCTTCAGCAACAGCCTCTTCGGTAAGGTAACAGGTAACGGTAACAGAGTTGGAAGGGACCTTGGAGGTCATCCAGTCCAACCTCCTGCTCACGCAGAAGACCTATACTAGGGATTCGAACCGCCGAACTGCCGACTTTTCTGTTCGACAAGAGGAACTGATTCAGGAGCCCTGAAATCCAGCCTGGTATGGGGGTCGTCGCACGTCCCTCTGAAGTCGTGCAGAGGGACCTGGGAGGACGCTAATAATAATAATAGTAATAGTAATAGTAGTGAACCTCTGCGCCAGAGCAGAGTTCTCTTATTTGAGCACTGAAATAGGTTCTGATGCGCGTTGGTGCTAATGTTGATGTTTCCAATCGAACCCCCAATTCAGGATTTTAAGGGTTCAGATCGAGCCTCTCCTTAATGTCAAGGTAGCTAACACAGAGGTTATTATTCTCCAAAGCACCGGAGGGCAGGACAAGAAACAATGGTTAGAAACTAATCAAAGAGAGAAGCAACCTGAAATTAAGGAGAAACTTCATAACAGCAGGGACAATTAACCAGTGGAACAGCTTGCCTTCAGAAATCGTGGGTGCTCCATCACCCGAAGTTTTTAAGAAGAGTCTAGACAGTCACTTACCTGAAATGGTTCTCCTGCTTGAACAGGGAGCTGGACTAGAAGATCTCCAAGGTCCCATCCAGATCGTTCTATTCTATGCTCTTACTTGCCCCTCATAAGATAACTGGCCTGCCTGCTTTAGTTGATTGATCTCTTCTACTTAATCACTGAGTTCATTAGGGGTATAGGTCCTCCTGGAGAAAACCTAGGGGGTCACCAGGAGTCAAAAATGACTGAGTGGCACACAATCAATCAATCAGATAGCTTATCACAGCTTGATTTGAATGGGCTTCGGAGTACCTTTCTGTTCCTGAGATTACCAGTTGTATAGGCTGAACGTGGGAAAAGTTCATTTTTCTTCCCATTTTCCATTTTTCTGACATTCCACAATGTATAGAAGCAAGTGTTAGGGTAATCCGCCACTGTAAATAGCAGGTGTGAATTTTTGGAAAACAGCTGGACTAGAAGACCTCCAAGGTCCCTTCCACCTCATTCTATTCTAAGGGAACCTATTGGTTAAGCTAGGAGTTCCAGTTCTGACTCTGCTGACTTTCATAACTGTTCTCTGTTTTATATCTTTGCTCCATAGTATCCCCCTTTTATACTTAACCCCTATTCAGCTCAATCATAGTTTCATTTCACATCTCATTTTCTAATAATGGAAGTCTCTCATTCCTATTACTGAGCGGCAGTTAGTGAAAGAAAGACTGCTAATGTTCCATCAAGCAAGCACTGTATGGCCTCAGGCATAAAGCAATCAGGGCAGCAGCATCTATGTATCAGACGCACCTGCTCTTCATTTGGGGATCCAATGGAAGTTGTACTGTGGTCCTCAACAGTGCTATGCAGGTCATATCAGTCTGCGGAACAAACCTTTGGAATTGTGCATCTCTGCGAATATCTTTGCATTCTACACAAACTCAGTTGCTGTTTCAGACCACCTCCATAGATCTCTCACCAACTGACCATTTTCCAAACATTTCTTATAATTCTCACCAATGGACAGAGAATAAATCATATGATGCTTATAATGTTGTCTGCTCTGAGATCCTATTAGTACCCTCTTTTCTATGGTTTTTTCCTGTAATGGTCAGAGTTTGTAGTCATTTTGCCAGGTTCTAATTTCATATATACTATATATCATTTTTTTTCAACCTCCTGTTGTGTTAGTCTTCATTAACTTGGGTAATTGTGTATGATAGAGGTTATACTCCAATCTGTCTGGAGCATTCTAGACTTGGAAAGTTGCCTAACACCATATGCACTAGCTGCTGCTTCTAAGTTCACCACCAAGCCCTTCTAAAATCTTTTTCGCGGGGCTTTTGTGTTAACTTCTGAATTGTTCTTCCCAGCTGTAATTAATTCTTAGGCATCATTGTATTTTAGATTGAAAGCTTTTTGGAGTAGAGATAGCCATTAATCATGAAATTATTGTGGATGTCTTGAGTCATCATTTCCTCCTGTTTCAAACATTTAGACTGCCATCACCAAATCTTATCAGCTACATTCAACTACTGGAATTGCTTGATCCAAATAAATCTTCAATGTGGGTGAAAGAAACCCAGGGCTGTGGAAAACAGTTCAGAAAATCAAATGGAGTTTTGGATGAATGCTAAATTGAAATACTGAACAGGCATATTCCATCCTCATTATTTCCTTGTTGCATCTCTTTTGTAATATGTGATATTTATATCTGAAAAAAAGATATCTCTAAAATTTATTGGTTCGATTTATATGCCGCCCTTCTCTGGAGACTCAGGGCTGCTTACAATGCGTTAAGCAATAGCCTTCATACTTTTGTATATACCTGCTTAGTAGGGCTTTTGGCTCCCCATAAGTGGTGTTCTTTTTTATACAAAGTCAGTTTATTGCCCCCACAATCTGGGTCCTCATTTTACCTACCTCGGAAGGATGGAAGGCTGAGTCAACCTTGAGCCTGGTGAGATTTGAACTCGAAGTAATTGCAGGCAGCTGGCAGCTAAGTGCTACTTTAACAGCACTTTAGTCCGCTGCACCACCAAGGCTCCTTAAAATAAGAAACAAAGTACAGCCATGTTGCCAAAAGAGAAGATTATAATAAAGATTATAATCTAAGACTTCTATCCAATTTTAAATATTGAACTGGGAAAAACTTCCAATCTTATTTTCTTTTATGGTAGCTAGAATCTGTGGCATTTACAGCTTTTTAATAAAACTTCCCAAGTTTTCTACATTTTTTTCAAATCTGTTGGAAAAAGTTTGTATCTCCTAGGTAAATCTTCTTTTGTTTGCAAGTTGTAGAGTAAGCAACATGTGGCCTTCCAGTTATTAAAATGCAAATTCTAGCATCACGTATTATCAACAATGCTAGCTGGGACTAATGGGAATTGAATTGCCTTGTTTAACACTCATGCATTTATATTTTGATATTACAAGGTATCAATTCTCAGGTTTAATACAAGTCACTAAAATGAGAAATCCTTATCCCAGATTCCATAAATAAATTATATATTGCGGTTACTGAGATCTGGATTTGATATAAAGTGGATAGTTGGAAAGAAATCTCCCAAGGCCAGTTGTTGGGGTAGAGAGACTAACAGTGGTAGTGGTGATAGAATTAAGGAAGGGATTTCAGATTGTAATGGGCAGAGAGAAATATGATGGGAGACGTGGGGTAGGTTACACTTCTGACTTGCCAGCTGGAATATAAGAGTGATGATGGCCTTAGCCAGGAATGCAACTGAGCTACCTGTCTTAGACCAGTTTTAAAGAAGTTAATTTAGGACTCACTGGATAAGAGCCTAATGCTGGGAACAATTGAGGTCAAAAGAAGAAGGGACGGCAGAGAATGAGGTGGCTGGATGGAGTCACTGAAGCAGTAGGTGTGAGCTTAATTGGACTCCCAGGGATGATAGAGGATAGGAAGGCCTGGAGGAAAGTTGTCCATGGGGTCGCGATGGGTCAGATATGACTTTGCAACTATAACAACAAATGAAATGCCTAAAATGTTGCTAGGGTAAAGCAAAGACAGATGTATCAGATGTTTTAGCTTACAGCTTCACAATCAGAGCAGCAAAAAGGCAATATATTCCCACTGCTATTACATCTTCAAATTGTCATCCAGCAACATTATAAACATTCATGGATCCTATTAGGGAATTAAAGAGATCTTATGGGGCTTCACCAAGCAAATCAATAAAAATTCCTCAGATCTGCTTGGCATTGGGCACTAGGTCTAGTTCTATTGATAATAGGTTAGTGCCACGGGTGGGTTCTACTTACGTTTACTACCGGTTTGCAGTGGGGCCGCGTGAGCGAGCGAAGTAAGCACGCACATGGGCTCTTCTGCGCATGCACAAAAGCGTTTTGATGATGTGGGGTCGGTGGGCGGAGCCTCCTGCTGGTTTTACTACCAGTTCTATAGAACCGGTGCGAACCGGGGGCAACCCACTACTGGTAAGTGCTGTTAAGGGGCCTGATGCTACATTTTGCATTGTTATCTCAGAAAGTTTGAGACTGTTGGTCCTGAAAAAGCATACAAGGTTCTTTCTGATTTATTTATTTGATTTATGTAGCTGCTCATCTCATCTTTCTGATGCTAGGTGGCTTACAATAAAGCAAATAATGTCCTGAACGTAAAAACATATAGCAGAAAACATCTCAAAATGGATATCAACAAAGCCATAGGCTTTATCACACACCCATGGCACCAGGTCCTGGCATTATTAAAACCAAGTTTTTAGGACCTTATGAAAAGCCAGATGAAAAGAGGCTGGGAATGGGGATTGGTTAATACTTCCTTGAAAGAAAGTAGGTTGCCAGCAGCGCTGAAGGAAGTGCCCTCTATTCCAAAATGTTTCTTAATCCAGCAATGTTACTTAATTATAATTTGATCTCCAAACTTCCCTTTTTATGTAAGGCTGCTGAAAAGTTGATGGATTTCCAGTTACAGGAGCACTTTAGGAAATGAATTATGAATGGTACTGCAACTACATTGATTGCTCTTGTGGATGACCTGTACTAAGACCAGAACACTACTAGCATAACTTGTCTTGCTAGGCGTCTTATCCACTTTTGATACTATTGATTATGATATCCTTCTGAATCTCTTCTGAGCCCAAGTTTGATTTGCAGTGTCTCTCTTTCCCAAGGGAGAAGCTTGATCCAGTGGTAGTGGTAGGGGAGAGCTTAGGGGAGTAGTGGGTTGTGGGTCCTGCAGGTCAACATTTCTGCCCCTTCTTTTTAAACAACCAAATGAAGCCATTGATGGAGATTATCTGTTCTGCAAAGGGCCAGATATCAATATGCTGTGATGATACTTGTACATCTTGATTTCTGATCAAAACACTGAAGTTTTGTCTCAGTGCTTGAAGGTTGTTAGTATCTGGATGGAGAACAGCAGCCTTGGACTAAACTCAGCAAGACAGAGTGGCTGTGACT